CCCCAAAACCCCAAAACCCCAAAACCCCAAAACCCCAATTAAAATGTACAAGTTGAAGAAACTCTGTGATAATATTTCATCAATATTTCTCTACTGGTAGCTATATCCTGACCCTGGTGGATAGTAAGCTGGTGCTGGTGCAGGGGCTGGTGCTGGAGCTGGAGCAGGTGCTGCATAAGTAGTACCAGGTGCTGCATAAGTAGTGCCAGGTGCTGCATAAGTAGTACCAGGAGCTGCATATGTCGTTCCAGCAGTTGGAGCAGGTGCATAGCCATGAGCAGGTGCATAGCCAGGAGCTGATGCAGGAGGAGTATATGTTGCAGCTGGAGTACTTCCTATATATGTTGGAGCAGCATAAGCAGGAGCTGTTGGATATGCAGGTGCGGTAGCTGTAGGATAAGCAGGTGCAGGGGCTGGAGCATATACCCCTGGAGCTGTAGCAGCATACCCAGCTGGAGCATATGATGGTGCAGGTGCTGGTGCTGCATAATACGAAGTAGGAGGAGTTGTAGCTGGAGCATAAGAAGCATATCCACCATACGTACTTGCTGCCGGAGCAGTTGTTGCAGTGAAGGAAATCTCTATATAGACCTGTCCAGCATCTTTTCCTTTATATTGGACGGGTACCCAGTCCTTCAGTCCTCCCATAGATGCTGCACTAGCAAGATCTATTGCTCCACCTCCAACAAAGTCATCTGATGTAGTATCTTTGTCCCAAACTTGTAAGGTCATAGTTGTATCAACATACTTCATAGTTAAGGATTGGTTCCAGATAGGATTTTTCCCCCCTCCGCTATGAGTTTTAGTCTTCTTTTTCTCACTTCCACTGATTAGTACTACATAAGGATCCATCTTACTCCATGTATCAGTATCTCTGTAGAGTCTAGCTGTCTTCACTTCAATTACTACCTTAGACATATTTAAATGTATATATAACTTCAAATAAATCTTCTTTCTGGGGTTTTGGGGTTTTGGGGTTTTGGGGTTTTGGGGTTTTGGGG